CTCAGTTGCACTTCATCGAAGAAAGCTAGAAATGAAATAAATCAAATCATAACTTTCAGAACTATAACTTTCTTAAGACCTTCAGAAGCAGTTCATCAAAGCATGCTAGAAATAAAATATTCATCAAGTTTTGATTTTCAGAAATATCATTTTATTTTGAACCTCAATTTTTTTATGTGCAGGCTTCCAAACGAATACCACCCTACCGGTCCCCTCGAGTCATCCATTCTTTTACAAACGGTTGCTATGGTGATCACAGTGCCAACTTCGCTTCCACCCTTGATATGGCGTGCCCTACTTTGGAGCCAGTCTGCCGCCACTCTGCCCTTCTTCTGCTAGGGCCACCCTTTAAGGGCGCAAGGCCTTATTATTATATTATTGCGTCCTTAAAATGTCGTGGTTTCCACACCCGAAGGGGTTATCTATAAAACCGTAGATAGCCCGAGGTTTGTCGGGGTACAGGGACTTCCTCTCTAGGTTACACCTGGGTTCCCGACTGCGGGGATCTAAGATGGGCGTGTGATTTTAGTCAGCTCGAGAATGGTGTGGTATCCGAGAGGCTTTCCACTAGTGGAAAAAAGTACCCCATTTCGTACATCATACTTCAATTCCAATATTAATTAAGTTATGATTTTAAAACTGTTATAGTCCATCTAATCTAAGACGAAACAACTTTGTATAGGCGTAATTTAAACAATTTCAATAACCTTTTCCGTAAAACCATGGAGTTATGTAGCTCTTTTTAATGATATACAATTCTTAATGACTATTTAAATTTAAATCTTTGTAACAAAGCTAAATAACCAATTTATACACAATAGATGTTTTTTTTAAACTTTATTTCAAAGTTACGTAGTTAGGTCCTTTACCGTAGTGTTGCGGCTCTTCAAATTCAATTGAATACGAATAATCGTTAAAATGTACGAAAAGTCGAATTACTAATTACGAGTAATTTTCAGTCCAGGCGTCAAAGTGTTTAATAATCTTAAAATGCATCTGACATCCAAATCTCAACGAAAACGCATAATTAAAATTGAAAGTACATAAGTAAGTTAATGTAATTTTAAACAAATATTTGTAAGCAAAAATCGCTCGTGTCCAAGTCTAGTGTATACTAAGACACGGTACTATTATAATTGTACCGTGACTAAGATTTACTAGTAAAAAACTAGTAATTAAAATGCACCTTTTTTTTACGTGGGGAATGCTTTTCGCACCATACCCTCCGTTGGGGAAACGCAGGGCGTGTGTGGGACTCCCGGAGAACCGGTCTAACCACTAAAGCCCGCGGCGGCCTACCTCATCAGTCGGGAGGAGCTCCAGGAACGCATCGGCGACTTCTGGAGTCCTCCCTGCTGTACCTCATGTCTGAGGCACATCCCGGAGTGACCGTAGTCACCCTGGGGCAGGATGCTATCGCGCCTCTCACTGCTATACAGATCACACTGATCCCGCTCTGCGGCCTCCTTTTGGAGCATAACGTCCTCGCAGAAGGAGACCGCGGCTGCCGATCCCTCGCCACTCGCCTGCATTGCCGCGATTAATGCTGGCGGTGACAGGTTTCGTCCGATCTGTCCGACCAAGACTCGACGTTAGGACTCCAATGCAGGGCAGTCCTCCAGCGTGTGCTGGGCGGAGTCCCGGTCGGACCCGCAATGGTGGCATTGTGCCGTGGCCTCCCGTCCAATTCGATTCAGATACTCACCGAAGCAACCGTGCCCGGTAAGCATCTGAGTCAATCGGTAGGTGACACAGTCGTTCCTCCCTACCCACGCTTCGAAGCTCGGCAGAACGTCTCCGACGGCGCGTTGGCTAGCCTGGATTACAAGCCGTGCCTGCCACGCTCGCAAAGCCTGCGTATGCGCGTTCCGCCGTAGCATTCCGGGCTGATGATCCGGCGCGGCCTCCTCACCATTCCGACCGACAGAACGGACTTGGTCATAGACCATCGCGTCCATGTCGGCCAGAATGTCGAAGGGTGGATATCGAGCCAGGACCGTCGCCGCCTCAAACGAGATGGTACGATAACCCCGTACGACCCGTATGGCCATCGGGCCATAGAGCCTTGCAGCGGGAGGCACCCGCCAAGTCATTAGACCAGACGGGCGCCCCATAGAGGACCATGGATCGCACGATCCCCATATAGAGACGGCGAACTTCTTTCCGTGGTGCCCCGAGATTGGGCAGCAGGCGATGCAGTGCACCCGCTACCCCGCGCACTCGGGGGACCCCCCCTGATCGGACTGCCGACTCCGACATGAAGCGAACGCACCTGATAGCGTCCACTGTCGAACGCCCCCATGAGCATTTTACATTTTACCCTGACGTGTCCCATTTCAAGGCATTGGTAACATTGCAAGCGCCGTGGTACCAACGCTTCGGTACGGACCGACGCCCAGCCCACCTGCACGCGTTGGGCGGCCGCAGCTTGGCGTACTGCTGTAAGTGGGCCCCGGACCCAAACCGTTCCCAATGGGGCTGCGGTTCTGCGTATCTCCCCGACCTTGATGTCGGACGGAGAGCAACCACCCACTGCGGCTATTACCTCCGCAACCTCGATGGCGGTAATGGATTCGTCCAAATCCATCACCCGCATTTCGGCCGTTTTGCACGGACGCATAAATCGCGCATCTATGTCGCCCATGACCGCGCGCAAGCGTTCGGCCAAAGCGTCCGCTTTGGCAGCGCTATCCGGCCCGGGGACCTCCAGTACTAGGCCCCCTGTGACTGCCTTTCGCTGGCGGACCCCGCCCGTAATGCCAAGCTCCGCCAGCTTAATACGGGCTTTTGCGGCCTGCATTACTTCCGCCAGTGAGGTACTGGATCCCGGAGGCACTGCGACCACTACGGCAGCATTGGTGGGGGTCGCGGTAATTGCAGCTTCTTTGGCTTCGAGACGGGAGTAGCAACCGCACCTGTCTCGCAGCGGTAGCCTTGGCTTTTCTCCCAACAACTTGGGCCCAGGTGCCCCCTTCCTGCCTTACCGCTGGTTCCGGCAGGGTAGACCTTCCAAGACTTGAAGCCTGCCTCGTTACTGGGTTCAGTTGCTGCCCCGTCAGCCCTTTCGCTTTCTTTTTCTTCTTTTTTCTCTTCTTCTTCTTCTCGGAAGGAGATGAGAGCGCAGTGGCTCTCATGGAGTCCGTCCTTTGCCTAGAGGTGGTCTGGCACCTCTCTCTGGGAAGAACCTAGCTAAAAGCCCGGACTGGAATCGGGCAAACTCACGGTTCATGATTGCCGCGATTTCTTCCCAGTCCGGATGGTCCTCCCTTGCCGGGTGAGCCAGTGGCACTGGCGAGCCCATTTTCGGCCCCAGTTCCGCCATCGAAGAAGGATCGTGGCCGCCACCTTTGTGGCCGACGATCTCCGCAGCACCGCCGAAGATGGTTCGTTCTCCTGTTCAAGAACCCTCACCCGGTCCGCCAGCGACGATGATGACGCCTGGTTCTGCACGGACACCTCCTCGTACTCACGTGTCACCGCTCTGTTGCAGAGCTCCTTCACGCCGTCCCGCAGAGTCTGCAGGGCCCGACGAATGGAGCTCATTACTTCCGCCTTCGTGCTGCGGGGTCTGTCCAATGTCTCTTCGACATTATCCAGACTTAGCAGTATTTGGGTGCCAACCTCAGCTGAGCTGGGCTGGTTTGCGTAACTGACACTGTGTGTCCGCTTCGCAAAACCAGTTCCAGTCCAGTCCTCATCATCGTGTAGACTACGCTTTCGCGACTGCCTGCGTGTCTCCCTCTCCGACCCTATCGAGGCTGAGCTATCGCTCTCTCTGCCTCGATCACCTCCGTCAAAATTGCACCTACTTCCTGTTCTCTCTGCCACCCAATGGTTGACTGGTATAGAATGCCTTGGGCATTAAGTCCGCCATTGCACCAAATGCGCATGTGTAAATAAATAAAACCTATGATGTGCCATTATTTTCAAACGTCTTTGAACATTAACTTTTGGTGTCAGTTCAATCTACTAATTTAAAGGCACTTTATTCATTCCCTTAGTTTTAGAACATTGTAACATTAAGCTAGATTTGCTCCAAATATAGTTCAGTAGTTTTGACATTCCGTTTTTGATCATTAACATTTGTCGTTGACTGTTCTCAAAGATTAAAACGCTAAAGCCATAATTATTAGAAAAGAACTTAAGTTAGGCATAATAATTTACCTATATTATTTATTCACTATTGTTGTATCATTGCTTTGTAGTAACATTTTTGAACGTAATAATATTTTATGCTTAAAATAAAATTCCTTATAGCTTACTGATTAGGTTGAACTTTCCCGTCGGCGGCGTAAACGCTTGTATGTCTCGCTTGCTTATGCAATTTCATGCTCATGCATCATCGGTCTTCGCGCTATTTGAATTATCATATAACAAATAGTATACTTAGACTTAAGTTTAGCCCCCTTAAAAGCACATAATTTTATATCGCACAGCTTTGTAATTTTGTTTTTTTCTAAAGGTTTCTTTCTCTTTTCACAGGAACTTATCCCAATTTTATTGTAGCACTAGCTGAAACCCGCGGTGTTACCCGCGTTTGTTGTTATAACCGCGGGCAACGCCACGGGGCGAAGCTAGTCTAAAAAAAGTAGCCTAAGTTACTCCTTATGTCATCAGCTATCTGCCAGTGAAAGTCCCGTCGAAATCGGTTCAGCCGTTCCAGGGTAATCTCTGGAACGGCTGAACAAACAGACAGACAGACAGACAAAAATTGTAAAAAATGTTATTTTGGCATATGTACCGTGTGAACATACATATGCATTTAGTAAAAAGCGGTTATTTTAATATTACAAACAGACACTCCAATTTCATTTATTTGTATAGATAAAAGGCGATAACGACGACGCCTTAAGATGTTCTATAACTAAAAAAATATTTCGTAATAATAGATAAATCCTATATTTTTTTTATTCAAAATCGAAATTTAAACAAATCATGGTGTAACGTTTTCAAATGTTCAAACAATATTTAAGTTTATGTTATTTATTATTTAATAGATCTTATTTTAAGACTTGGAACGTGTAACCCTCATGCATCAATCGATCCACTATGTCGGTTCTAAAGAAAGCAGCTCCAGGCGTTATAACTCCTCCCCTGAAAAATTAAACTTATTTGTATAATTGTAAAAACTAAAAACAATTTTTACAACTCTCTCGAAAAAATGCTAAACTTACTTCGGCATATTAGAACTTTCTTTCAATATCGTTATGGCACTCATGATTAAAGCAATAGCCGTTGAGTCTTGACAAGGATCCTGACCTGACACCTGTAAGTAGATGATTATTGTATTTTATTTACATATATAATTAATTACACACTATGCATACCACATCTAGCTACCCTTGATCTTTGTACTCTGCGATAACAGAACAAGTTCTACAATATTTTAGTTTTCAAAAGTATTCACACTTACCTTCGAAGTTAATTATTTATTTTTTACTTGCTTTGTATTAACTACTTAGATTTGCCGCTCCATATAAATATAATTGTTAATTGTATAATTATGTTCTCATGTAAGTGAATGTTATTCTTAATGAAAATAAAAGTTTCTGAAACCCGATATAATCCTGAACGTTTTGGTCAAATTAACAAAAAGTAAGAAGAAAAATCCAGTTAGAACCAGAATCGAAATGTCATTTAGTAATTTACGCAGAGTGAAAACGTGGCTACGATCGACAATGACTGATTGTCGGCCATGATTAGTGTGCTCAGAAAGAAGGCTTCAGGCAGCAAAATAAAGTTATTAACTCGTATTGTAATTATTTAAATAAGATTAGAAGTAAATATTAATTTAAATTCATTTAATTAATATTATTATTATAATTAATTTAAATTTAGTAGTTTTGCCCCAGCCCTAAGTAAATGTTGGATACGCCCATCTATACGAGTATATACTCGTACATAGACCTATTTATAATTATGTTATCTTCAATATATTCATTTCCCTACGTTTAATTTTCTAATGATCTCCAGAAAGAAGAACCCTAATCGGATTTTGTATGCCTATTTGAAGTATTTAAATAAAATTAATTTGTTAAATCAATTTGGAAAGTATATTTTTCAACTGATTTTACAACTTAATAAAACTTTTATATCACTTTTTAGGGCTGAGAACCTTTTTAGGCAAGTGATGACACACATATCTGTCGTTATTTATTATTAGTGGTTTCATTTTTCATTTTCTACCCACCTTCACCGATAAGGTTTTCGTAGGTTTACTCTTCTCATTGCAATCTAATTCCCACCCTTTACCATTCAAAATAAAACTGAAATTGGTACTTTGTCTCATTGTGTAAGTAGGTCCCTTCCTTGATACGTATCCCAATGTAAACAGTCGTGGAAAACTTATTAACAATCTCCTAAAAACCTTAAAATATGACAAAAAGTAGTACATTAAAATTACAGGAAGAACAATAAATTGGTAGAAGAACTGGAAGGTGGTGTATGCCTTGAAATGGAGCGGCTTCTTTTCGTTTTTCTCGTATAAAAACATTTGAGACATTTTTACTGAGTCATTTTCTATTCCAGGCCAAGGAAACCACAAACGGCCTTTGTTTCGGAAGAAAAGGGACCTGAAATATAAGAAAATCTCCAATTATATTGTCCTGTAGGGGCAATTAAATTGTGTTGAGTGATAGTATTCAGTTATATATTTACAAGCTTAATACATTTTACACTCCGTACAGCATGAAAAGATAAAATAAGTAAAACTAACCTTTTCATTTCTTCTGGCTCAGGTTCGACGGGTTCCGGAAAAAATTCCGACCATAAAGATAGCTGGTGTCTGTAAGTTTTGAAAGAATTGAGAAGTGAAGTCCACCTTCCATTATGAATTAAAGCTCTGAACAGTCGACACGGTGGTATTGAGAATTCAGTAAAGCATTCCACTGTGTATAAAGTTCCTACGAAAATCAGGATAATTATGGTTTTGTGGTCAGGATTATTTCAGTTGACCTAACATCATATTAGGTAATGTCTAATAAATAGTTTAAAGTAAAACAGTTCAGTGTCAGTTCGTTGTTCACTTGATATCATGAGTATATGTATTATGTTTCTACTTTTATTGGATGGGGAAGCATCTACAGGTATTCAAAAATGTAAAGAAAAACAGTTAAATGGAAATACTTGACCGTGTCAGATATTATTCAATTAAAAATGATCCCATTCAAAGTACTGACGATTTGAAAGTGACTTAAGGTGGTGGCGAATTGAAAATGCAAAATTAAAAAAAAATGCATTGCACATGCAAATGCAAGAAAATGCATTCTGAAATACTCGAACGTGACAGATTTTACACAAATGGTTCAGCTTTATATCCCAGTCATGCTTGCCAAAAATCTGAGATTTTATAATTTTTCGGGATTTTTTTAATTACTTTGAAAATGATGAACATTTAATAGTAAAAAACAGATAACTACAAAAATTACTTAATTGCAAGTCCGTGAGCCTTGCAATTAAGTAATTTTTTCTCAGAGGCCATCTCTTACAGGCAACCATGGGATGGAGAGAAAACATGATTGGGAAAAAGTATAGGATAGTAGGTATATGGTGTAAACTTAGATAAGAAGATAAAATAAAAGGACCTAGTATATATATAATTATATTATATAAAGTAATAGTTATACATAGTGTTAATTTGTAAATAAATAGGTACAAATAAATAAATAAGTTAGTCAAATTTATAAATATTGACTACATACTTAAATGGAAGACTGTAACCTAATTAATTAAATTAAAGTTAATTATGAGACATTAATTTATCCCAGGTAATGTTCCTTTACTAGTATTTCAAAGGCAGTTAGTGTCTGTACACGTCTTATTGCGACCGGTAGGGCGTTCCACAATCGAACTGCTTGGAAAAAGAAGGAGCCTCGACGAATTTGGTAAAATATCCATGCATTTTTAATTTCAGGTTCTCTGAGGACTGAACTATTTGGGATGTTATGTAAGAAGGTGAACCGTGATTTAAAGTAACATGCAGTAAAAGGATCAAATAGAATGTTATATAGAAGAGAAAGAATATGTGCATTCAGGCTAAGGCGGATGGGTAAACACTTCAGCATTTTACGATAATCAAAGACATAATCATATTTGCGTAATCCAAATATGAACGTGAAACAGAGATTTTGGAGTCGCTCAAGATTATTTAATTCCTCTTCAGTAAGATCTAGATAACTGGCATTAGCATAATCAAAGATGGGGAAGTGAAGGGATTGTCTAAGAGCAATCTTTGTTGATGTTGGTAGAAAATTGCGTAGTCGGCGCAAAGACCTAAGTACATATAGGTAAAACTTGAAAAAAAAAACAATCCTAACTTTTATTTAAAATCTATTTAATTTTTTAGTGATAAAGTTCAATAGCTGACCGAATAAATCCCGCTACAATATTATTTACCTTCTGGCCAATTTTCATTACATTCTTCTACGTTGATCTTCAATAAGGGATTTTTGAATGTTTCGTGAAATCTATCTGAATTCATATTCCACTCCGTTATAAATTGATCTCGTAATAAGTTCCCTCTCATATCGCATATTTCTTGAGTTGTAGGTATAACTCCTATCATCTTCCTCCCACTGATCCCACTCCATTCTGTCACGCTCAAAACATCAGCTTAATAAAACACAGGGTTTTGGTATGTATTTAACCCATCTTACACGTTCGCGTATTTTTAACCATCGATATTTTTTACTAATCTGATCTGCTGACCTAGACCTGCACTTCTCTATCGCGCATACTATATTAATAATATCTACTAGTTGACGTTACTGAATGTGTAATACTCCAAATTTTAGTTGGCAATTCTTTCCCATAAATTTTTATATTTTTTTTACGTGTGACTTCCAGGCCTTTTTTTTTAGTGGCAGACGGCCACATTTATCACCAGCTTTAGTTACACTTATGCAAGACGGAGGTCACGTAGCAACCTCCGGCGCTTGAGTCGCCTGCAGTACCTGGCCCGTTCCCGGGCCTCGGGCACCGAGGGGGTCTAAGGCTCTTCAGATCCCGCTCCGCCCTCTCCTTCTCCTGACCACCCAGGCGTTGGTTCTTTGCGGATCAGACACAGGTGATATCCTGCGTCAGCCGGTATGAGTACCGTTTTTCTTCTCGAGCTAATCGTCCGTAACGGGTCTTACCACCGCTATAATGGCGTGCCCGGCACTTGGTTGCCCAAGTCTTTCTCTCCAATGGATGACAATGGATCTATGGGATTTCTAGTCTTCGATTTCTCGAGTTCCAGGATCCCGACCCAATACGAGAATCAGATACCTTATCAAGAGCTCGATGTCGATGGGAGTGTCTCCGAGGACCATGAAAGAACAAGGCCTCAGATTTGTGCAGAGACACCTTACTTTGCGCCTCACCGTACGCCGACAGGAGCGTGTCGTCAGTATAGGCGACATCATCAAAGAAGGCACTGCCTAGCACCCAGTCGTAGCCAATTTTCCATTGGAGTCCAATTTGGATGATGTCTCGTTTCGTGACGAGTGGAGGGGCCGTTCACCTAAAACGACTAGGGGGAAAATTGGATCCGCGTAAAGATCTTCCTCCCCAGCCCTCTCCGCCTTCCGCAAGACACGACGCCCTCGCAAAAGGATGCGACCGCAGCCAAATATCTGTTGCTACCAGCCATCGAGATGGTAGCGGATACGTCTGGTAGCGGGCAACCCTTTGCGATGACTGCAATGAGTGCCCACTGTGTCAGGCTGGTGCGCCTCCACGGTGCCAAAGAAAGTACGTGAAGCCTCCAGCCGAGACGACCGTCTCATTTCCACCTCTAAACCCCATGGGTGAGTTCCGCAACCCTCTCTGAGGGGGGGTAGAGGCGCGCTATATTCTGGGTGGTCAGCAACAGTGTTTGTAATTATCATAGAAGGAAAGCAAATAAGTAGTGGCAATTACGTAATATAAACCTGTTAGGCATATGTTTTACTTGTTGAAAAATTTTGCGCGTGCGCCCTTTTATAACCTTGCGCCCATAGGCATGTGCATATCTTTCCTTACTGATAATTGGTTAGGTTAGGTTAGGAAACTGGTTAGGTATGATGGAGTAATTCAAGAGGGTGAATGGCTTCATGTTAATCTGCCGTGCTCGAGTAAATTCAAAAATCCCTTTTAGGACTCCCTTACTATTGTTGCTCTAACTTGTTCTGCTACTTTTTTTTTGGTTAGGAACATTTAGTTGCATCGGCGTGGCTTTAGTATTTTACGTATTTCTGTCACCAGGAGGATAGTAATTAAGATAAAACAGTACCTTTACTTTACCTTTGAATTGTTTCTCTAAGTAGATCAAGCCAGTCTCCACAGGCATTGTACTAAATCCGCAGGATGGAATTACAAGTACGTTTGCATCTGCCGCCGATTTGTAGTAATCACGATATAAGTTTAAGATGTGCTATAAAAATGAAATACATAATTATTTCCTAACAAAATTCAATTATCAATATCCATATTATCTATATATATTTATTATTATTTTTGTCTACGTAACACGCTGATGAAATGTGTAAGTACGAGTATACTTCTCTCATAGTTATGAATTTCTATTTGTTTTATTTTTAAAAGACAACAGACACTAGGAATATAAACCTGTATCGCGGGGACTTTACAAGCATACATGAAACGGACGAGACTCAGGACAACAATTTGTAGACCACAAAAAGTGAAGTACCATGATGGGATCACATAACACTTAGCGCTGCTTAAACCACTACACTATACGTGAATCTTAGTTACGTTACAAATTAAAATGAAAAATAGTGTAAAATAGTGATGAAACTCTCTTCTGTACTTTAAAAAAAGATATAAATGATTAAATCTATAAATATACCTACATCTAGCTGAAATGAAAACACCTCTTTAGGCATAGTAAAGGGCCAATTTAATTAGATGGATATCATTATCCTGTAAACAATTTTATGCATTTTTACATTTTTTACATGAGGATCACACGCTGCAAAAGCACAGACTCTATGGGGTAGGTGTTTGATATGTCTATTAATATGATTAGGTACTGCAAAGGTTCTAAATGTGTCAACAGAAATAAATTAATTTAACAAAATGTTAATTGTTTTGTTGATAAATACTGAAAAGACTCGGTTTTCCAATCGATAACTAGTTAGACTTAAAGTTATGAGAATTTTGCATTCTAGAGCTATGGCTCCCACACACTTCTCAATCGATCCGCATGAGCTCGTAAATTTCCTTCTTGTATAGGTACCTTTATTTTTTAGTAATGTGGATGTTTAATCATCTATGCTTCTGTATGTACGCATTTGGATATTCATGTAGGCGAGACTGCATATTTATTGTTAAGACTAATATCGACCTGTTAATGATATGTATCGGCCTTGGTAAGTCATGTTACCCTTATAAGTTTCGTAGTGACTTGAGTGGAGATTGATGTACCTATAATTTTATTGTTGCGTAAACTTTTGAAGTTTATTTAATTTCTACAATCTAATTTCTAAAACAGTTACAGAAAAGTATTTCTTTGATATGTGTACGATGTGATACAGGTTTTTATCTGGGACACTAACTGACTAATAAACATGAGGATCAGATATTGTTTTGAGGTCATCACGACGAACATGTGCAAAACCTCACTATACGCTGTTTATTTAGGAATACAAGTTTTGCTATTGCGTTACTCTCTCTTTTTCTAGATGTTGAAATTAGATATGCATGATTGCAAAACACACAAACATAAGTATATCTAAACTCGACAAATGTTATATTACCTAATATGTGTATTAAACATAAAAGTAAATATTATTATGTAATATTTAACGACTCTGTAGGCACTACTGTAGTATTTTAAAAAAGTATTTAAGTTTTATCGTAAGTTTTGTTTCCAGAATATCAAACATTCCAAAGCCGTAAATAGCAAATTTAAAAAGTAACTTACATACATCTCTCCAGATAAGTCCACATAATGTGTTCTTGTTTCAATACATGTCTTCACTATAAGGGAACTCAGTAGAATCTTTGGAGCCGTACAATTTATGACAACTTTGGTCATTTTTGACATTGTCTTTATTGATTCTTCATTATTAATGTCACATTCAATAGTCAAAAGCTCTTTAATATTAAAACCTGGAACAGGTATACAGGTAGATTGATATTTAGTAAGTCAGTGCTTTAGAAAAGACAAAAAAGATGACGAATTGAGAACCTCCTCCTTTTTTTAAAGTAGGTTAAAAGTGTAAAAACTAATAAGCTAACTTTGGAGCCCTCCAAAGTAGTTTGTCTAGTAGTTTGTCATTCCGACTAAGACGAAGGAAGGACGGATAGTTATGTATTGTCTAAGCGCGATCATTTGATAAGTATATCTGGGTGTAATTGACCTATCATTTGCACGAATTATATATGTTATAAGTATGTTTTTTCAGCAGCCTGGTTACCGTAGCCGTAGATATGTGGCCGCTTGTGAGATTTGTAAAAATAATTATAACTATAAACGACCTATATGTTGTATGTTATATTGTGCACCTGCTGTTAAACTAGAAGGAAGAAAAATTTATATTTAACGTATACATACCCCTTTCACTCAATTCCTTTACTAAGCTTAGGAGCTTTTCTTTGGAACGCCCAGCAATCGCCCAACTAATATTCAAATATTTTTCTGTTGTTAATCTAGCTAATCGTAAAACTGTACATTTTCCAGTACAACCCGTGGCACCAAACGCAATAATATCAACACTTTTATCCATTGTAAACATAAATATTTTTTTGTAAATATTTTTATATTGATCCTTTAATATTTTTTTAATAATAATAATTATAATTAGTTTTTATTTTTCCCTAAACTTAAAAAAAATTACAGTCAATCAATTTTATAGTCTTAGCTGTATTTTGAATATGAAGAAACACTTTAATATTAATTTTTAATACAGAGTTAGTCGCTTTTAGCACGACACGTTTGTCAGTATCTACTTGTTTCAAATGTATGAAGTCAAGCATCCAAACCAGTTACTCAAAGTATTTACATAACACTTCACAGATAACGGAGTATTAGTACGGCCAAAATGAATTACTAGCCGGTCCCTGAGGTTGTCCCGCGTTATGGTCACTGTTCCTTTTCGAAGGTTAAAAAATTACATTAATTCAGCCTTTAAGTAATTAAAGAAATTTAAGCATTAATTTAAAAGAACAAACTCTTTATTAATTACCTTCAACTGCGATTTAATTGACTTCATCGGCGTAGAATTAGGTCCGTGTGTTGACGGATTAAGAATACGGAGTGCCAACACCCCTATTCATCCCGTGGGTATCGTATGAGCCGACTAAGGGAGCGAACTATATAACTGACTGCACGGATGGCGTAGTGGTTTTAGTGGTCGCCACGCCGCTTAATAGGTGTGTTGTACACGGAGTGTTGTGAGTGCAATCCACACATGGGACGACACTTTGTGTGATCCACAAATTGTTGTTCTGAGTCTGTGTGTTCTTTGTGCCCGTTTCATGTATGTTTGTAAGCAACACTTGTAGTCTTTTTAAAAATGAAATGAAATGAAAAAAATGACAATGCAGGTCAACAGCACCGCAAAGACCAGCGTGGTATACCTACTTAATAGGTCAAAACTTCCTGTCTAAGGAGAGGCCTATATCCAGCAGTGGACTATTAAAGGCTGTTGATAATGATGATGATGATGTATCTAACAAGAGTATTTATTTTCTATTTTATAACGAAAATTTTTTTTTTTTAATATTTTATCAGTGTATGCACATTTCTACAAAGTGTAATTAATACCCTGACAGACAGACTGGTAGAGAAAATTCTATTCTGTACCAGTCTACCAGTCAGCCAATGTAGAAATGCATTCCTTTGTTAAAAATACTTTTGTTAGATCTATGAGTTTTTATTTATTTCATACTGATCAGGTTCTTCTATAAAGGTGGCTTTATTTAAGAACCTGCTCAGTATGAAACACAATATATTAAGTGTATACAAGAGTGAAGTGAGAAATCTTTATGTCCAAAAAACAATCTTTCCTTAATTTTAGCATCGGTGCTTAAGAATGATCATTTCACAAGCAAAAAATGGAATAAATTTTATTAAACGAAGCAGCACACACATTTTCGCAGATATCATATATCGTAGAGAGAGAAATTAAATTAGGTATCACTTGAATTATTTTAAATGTCCAAAGAAAACAGAAGAAAATGATATTTAAATTTTCCTGTAACTTGAAATAATATTTTTTTTTTACATTTGGCAACTCTAAAGTGTGAGAGCTGATAGCCCTTTTTGCCTAAATCATTCTCAACCATCCTAAACCAACTGTCTCTAGAACTTATTAATCAAAATCGTTTACACTATATTTAGTTCTGCAAAATCCATAATGTATTTTTCTGTATTTGTAAGAATACACTAAATTCTTAAATATTACATTTAAATAAAATAAAAGAAATAACTGCATATTCAAATAGCTAATCAATCTTTTCAAGAAATCTTTTCAATAAATGGGTTTATTTAATTTATTGTTTTAAAACAAAATCTAATATGTTTGATAATCACCGATGTACGGGCTCAAAAGTTTAAATGAAGATTTAAATATTTTTTAACATGGCAATACATCTGATAAAAGTTGTCATTTTATATGACTAACAACGATTGAGTTTCTATGAAATTACTATTTATATTGCTGTTAATGTAATTTGCGAATAATTAAAGTGTTATATAAACTATAAGAACGCAGAATAAACTACTTGTGAATGGTAAGGACGGGTTATTTGGTAAAAAACCTAAATGCTTGACTCGTTTTGTCAGTGATCTCATACTAGGGTACCCCAATTCGTCATTAACGCTATAGCCCAACAAGATATCATTAAGGTCGCATCATTTAATTGGATGGGAGTCTCATTTTGTTTCTGTTTGCCTATAATTATTAGGTTTCACTATGATATTTAGATCAATTGTTTTGAATCAGTCTTAATGTCACAAGATTTTTCTCATTCATTTATGTATGGTATCACGATTTGTTACCACAACAGGGCTGTAGGACCATTTTGAAATTTTAATTACTGTTTTTTACAGAGAATGCACTATGTTTAGAATCACCTATACATAGGATGTCTGGAATTAACGGTTTTGTATACCATTTCAAATTTAACTTTTGTTTCTTCTGAGGTACTCAATGAAAGTTGGGAATTGAAAAATGAGGTTGTTTTTCTAACTATGGCATTAGAGTTATGTTAATAAGAAGCTGTTGTTAAAATAGTATTATGCTTCATTTACTTATGGTCTCTCTAGTCTACTTATGTTTGTTCTTGTGTTCTATTATAATAATCACAAAAGTTAAATGTATTGTATACATTAGTTTTGTAAACATATTGCAAGTAATTTTCTATTTTTCAAATAGTTAGTCACAAACAAGGTTTAAAAAGCCAAAAAGGCAATATCTGTAAACAAGTTAATCTATCTACTAAAAGGTCCTTTGTTTATGAAATTTAAATATTATGCATGAATGATATGAAGTAAGTTTAAGTTACTTTTATTCCGAACCTTTGATGACAAACTAACAGTAGGTCACAGTAGTAATGTTCTTTTTATAAGGTCACACAACCGCTATTGCTGCTCAAGACAACACACACTTAAATGAACACATTAAAGGTTTAACATTTTGATTTTATGAACAGCTTAACGGTCCATGTGGTGACGGATTAAGAATACGGAATGTCACCACCCCTATTTATCCCGAGGGTGTCGTAAGAGCTGACTAAGGGAGCGAAATACGCAGGACAACAACACTGCAAAGAGAAGGAAAACTTCAAACAAACCCTATATCAACCCATCTGGGCAGCAGGGTACAGTAGGCCAAAGCCTCCTTTCTAAGGAAAGGCCTATGTCCAGCAGTAGCCTATTTAGGGCTGTTGATGATGATGGTGAGGTACTACTTACCATTACAGCAACATTTTAACGATAATGTATGATATGTTGATGATAATGATGAACAGCTTACAAACAATTTTACGACTTTACTTTAAAAATTTACATTAATTTATAGTGTTCTGACTAAAATATGTTTATTATTTTACCAACACAATTCAAAAACTTCATTAGAGCCCTACTTATGATCTTTTAATACTTAATTTCACTTCACTGAGGTAGAAACTCATGGCCATTTTCTCATAGGCTAGAAGATATAGTCAATGTGAGACACATTCAACCCACATTCTCCCTTGTGTGATATCACATATTTTACAATTTTACATCTAGAAGTTATTAAATTAAAACAGTAGTTCCAAAATTCGTTTTAATTTCATATAAATTATTTTCTAATGATTTAATATCAAATTAAATATTAACAAAAATCAACATTAAATTATATAAATGTCAATATTTCTAAATTTGCGCTATAATACTAACTTTATTATTTCATTTAACATTTCATTTGACATTGTGAAGTCACAAAACTTAGGACCCCTGCCACCCCTTGTCACACTCTGTTGAACCTCCCCCCCCCCTTGGTGTGACGTAGCTTATGGATATTCCCTATGTGATATATAATGGTCTCTACACATGAGATGTCACAGCACTTACTAATTTACCAATAGTATACCAATGTTGTATTTATTTTTTCTACATTCATTTTTACACATACTTCACATTTTTCTCTAGGAATGCTAATCAGATTTGAAATATATTTCTTTCACCGTATTGACCACATCCTGATAAGAAATAGTATTCCTAGTTCAGACCAGTGACCATCAACTACTCTACATCAAATAAATGCATCTTAATCAAATACATAAAATTCTCGTGTCACTGTGTGCGTTTTTGAACTCCTCCGAAACGGCTCGACCGATTTTCGTGAAATTTTGTGTGCATATCGGGTAGGTCTGAGAATCGGCCAAAATCTATTTTTCATACACCCAATTTTTTTTCTCTCAATTTTTTTCAAATAATGTATATGGTAAAACAACGTTTGCCGGGTCAGATAGTACTCTATGAAACTGCCTGACTCTGATTGCCTCGGTGGCGCAGTAGTAGCATATGCGACTCCTGTTCTGAGGTCTCGGGTTCGATTCCGGGAATGGGACCAAATATTTGTATGCTCTGTAAACAAAAAACAATGATTTTTTATACATCTTTTCAGATTGCAGTATAGTTCACAAAAATGGCGTCGTCCAACACTTTGCAAAAAGCTATTGATCTGGTGACGAAAGCAACAGAAGAAGATAAGAATAAAAATTACGAAGAGGCACTGCGACTTTATGAACATGGGGTAGAATACTTCCTTCATGCTGTCAAGTATGAAGCTCAGGGAGAGAGAGCGAAAGAGAGTATCAGGGCAAAGTGTCTGCAGTACTTAGATAGAGCTGAAAAACTTAAAGAGTACCTCAAGAAAGATAAGAAGAAGAAACCAGTCAAAGATGGAGAGTCAAATTCCAAAAGCGAAGATAAGAAAAGTGATAGTGATAGTGATTCAGATGATCCAGAGAAAAAGAAACTTCAAGGAAAACTTGAAGGTGCTATTGTTGTAGAAAAGCCCCATGTCAAATGGAGTGATGTTGCTGGGTTAGAGGCAGCCAAAGAAGCCCTAAAAGAAGCTGTTATTCTTCCTATCAAATTTCCTCATCTGTTTACAGGCAAAAGGATACCATGGAAGGGGATTCTACTTTTTGGACCACCTGGTACTGGTAAATCTTACTTAGCGAAAGCAGTTGCTACTGAAGCAAATAATTCGACATTTTTCTCCGTTTCATCTTCTGACCTTGTTTCTAAGTGGCTTGGTGAGTCTGAAAAGTTAGTTAAAAACCTGTTTGAGCTAGCTCGGCAACACAAGCCCAGTATCATATTTATTGATGAGGTTGACTCGCTCTGTTCATCGCGTTCTGATAACGAGTCTGAATCCGCCCGACGTATTAAGACCGAGTTCTTGGTCCAAATGCAGGGTGTCGGCAACGATATGGATGGAATTTTAGTCCTCGGAGCAACAAATATCCCATGGGTACTTGACGCGGCCATTAGAAGACGTTTTGAGAAACGTATTTACATTGCCTTACCAGAAGAACATGCTCGATTAGACATGTTTAAGTTACATATGGGAAATACAACTCATCAACTAACCGAGCAGGATTTGAAAGTACTAGCTTCTAAAAGTGAAGGTTACTCAGGTGCAGATATATGTATTGTTGTCCGTGATGCCTTGATGCAGCCTGTACGTAAAGTACAATCAGCTACACACTTTAAAAAGGTAACTGGGCCCAGTCCCACAGACCCCAGTGTTATCTGCAATGACCTTCTAACTCCGTGTTCTCCTGGTGATCCAGGTGCTCTTGAAATGACCTGGATGGAAGTTCCAAGTGATAAGTTGCATGAGCCACCTGTTACTATGCCTGATATGCTCCGGTCTCTGGCAATATCTAAGCCGACAGTTAACGACGACGATATGGTCAAACTCAGGAAGTTTATGGATGACTTTGGACAAGAAGGATAATTTTTTGGGTAATAGCATTTTACTTGTTTAAATATAAATAATTTTTGATTGGCTGTATTGTATTAAAGTTTATTCACAGTGCCTAATGTGTTGCAAAGTGAAGTCTTTTTATTTTTATAACATTTTCAAACTAGGTTATAGAACACAGTCACTATTGTGTGATGCTGTTCAATAGTAGCACTAATTACTGCTTCAAGTCTTATATTTCACTTAGAAGATCACAAAATTTTTTGCAATGTTCTAGCTTCAAGAATCAGTATCATAAATGGATAGTTTTTAGGAGTATTCCTACTTTTACCATGTTATTAGGTAAAGGAGAACTAAACAATGAGAAATTTAGGACTGTTTCCATTGTCTTCTAATTTTATTTTAAATGTGTGTGCTGGAATTACAGGCTTGTCTTCTATTTAATATGGCAGAAGATTGAAAGGTAAAATCCATCCAATGTTTAATGTATTGTTTTGATAATCCAGATATAATTAATTGTGTAGTCAAATTACTGCTAATGAATATCCCAAATTTTTATCTTGTCACTGTTATATTTACATTCTTATGATTAAATGAACTCAATTTCAATAATTTCTTAGGTAACAGGGTTCTTCATTTGGTGGCACACACATGTGGAAAATGTAAAAAAAAATAGAAATAATAAAAAAAAATATTGGCTAACTCTTTATAGTTCAGCTGTTCCTCCTCAAGCTGGAGCTGATTGAATTCAATGTCAGGTTAGGAGGATGTGTTAATTATTTAGTTTCGGTACCTAATTAATCTAATTATATACTTGTATAGTTAATTAATTGCCCTTGTCACTTGTCTTCAAAATCAGCCTTACAGCCAGTCTTACTCATATACCTCATGAGTGTTTGAATTTTGTCATTGATATTCTTTAAACAATTTCCTATCCCATTGATCTGATTATGTTCACTACACAGTAAACATTAGACAAGCTACTAACTATTATGACTTAGCACTTTGATACAGGTATATAATTAAAGTTTATTTGTAAAAGAAATCGAACAGTTAAAATGAACAATGCATAGTATATGTCTATTCACTGTAATTGTGATATGTGTATGACCTTTATTTATATTTTTTTGTATTGGAACATTAAGTGTAGAGGTAACTATACAATAAGTGCAGTTTCAGATGCGCAACGCTCATTTCCAAGATATTGGTAACTGTAAGAAAGAAAATGATTAAATCTAAGCATTGAGGACTAGGTTAGGTAGGAGGACAACGAGTTATATAAAGTTTTAAGTAGCATTCAATCAGGTTCAAATAATATGGAATACAGTGTGTACTTACTCACGCGTTGTTGCCAATAAGTTCCTACTAATACTGTTAAATGGACAAAATGGGCTCTTTATGCATCGCCTGAAAATAACTTATTGGCAACAACGCGTGAATAAGTAGTAACCCTAACCTACATACGAAAAAATCGAATGATAAATCACAGTTCACTGTGATTTTGTGCCATCTCTACTGTTTTGCTCATTGGCTAGCCAAAAGCATGTTCCCAATTTCAATGTTTTAGAAATACAAAATCATTAAACACAAAGTGGGACTCTACACTTTTTGTATTCTAAGGTACGTGTCCTGTATATACAAGAGCACCTTCGATATAAATTTTTATTGATTTGAAATATACTTTTGCTCTTGATAATTGATCTTTGTTCTTATAGTTTTAAAACTAATATACTTTTATTTCGAACTTAGTGTAATGTTTATTTCGTTCTTTTGTATATTGTTAAACTAAGTGATTACATATTATAATGTTCTGAGTAAATTGGTTTTATTATTTCTAAAGAAATTGATCTTAAATTGTTTATGTGTCAAGTTTAGTTAACAATTGTGCGAGAAATCATAAATTATCTTTCTTTAATATACTTATTATTAAAACTGAGTGTTTTTTACAAACCCAAGTCACCTCAACAAAGGGTTCATATTTCAGTGTAAAACTAATAAAAGAAAAATGGTAAACAAATAAAACTGTTCGCATTTGTCAATCTCAACCAACAGGCTCATAAATCGTTCAACAACTGATGAGCTAGTACACATTTACTAATATTAGTTTTTGTAATACATTTTAATAACTAGATATATATAACTAGTTGACCCGGCAAACGTTGTATTGCAAAACAAAACAAAATTAGGGATGGGTCACCCTTACCATTTAGGGGTATAAAAATAGATGTTGGCCGATTCTCAGACCTACCCGATGTGCACACAAAATTTCATGAGAATCGGTCAAGCCGTTTCGGAGGAGTACGGGAACGAACATTGTGACACGAGAATTTTATATATAAGATGAAACAATAATGTAGTCGGAATATGTGCTATATTTTTCTTGCTAAATTCAATAGATTCTTGTGCTGTAACAGCGATAGCAGTAGCGCAGGTTTGACGGTTAATACCAATTAATTGTACATGTTTTTTATCAATTTTCCAAAAATAAGGCAGCAGCAAAACTAGGCAGTTGGCATTTGGTACAGCGATAGATTATGATTTGGAATAGCGCATTACTTTTTTAGATTCTCTGCTATTCCGGTCCACCGTAAAATATCATTCTGAAATAACTTAAATTTGAATAGATTATAAGAAGAAAGAGCTACAAGTAAACTAGAAGTAGTTCCTAATAATAGTCCACACATTTCTAATTGGAGTTTCTTTTTAAGAAGAATTTAAAAAGAATTTCTAATTAAGAATTACCTACTTGTACTTAACGAATTAGCCTGTTCCAGGTCTAAAGAGCTCGGAGCGAGGACTCCGAAGGGGGTTTTGAACCACTGTTAAAAAGATTTATTAGACCAAGTTATCCGAATGTGTTTGGTGTTTAAATCAAATACAGACCCTTTTTTATTAAATATATGAAGTAGGTTAGTAAAGTATTACGCAGAATAAAAAATGATCTTTATTTACATGAATAATAATATTAGTATCACAATATCTCAACACAAACAATGTTCACTGTTATCATTAGTAGTAAACTCAACGGTGCGGTCCAAGGTGAAGCGTTTATTTCTGTAACATTAAAAATAAAATATAAAGCTGTAATTAGCGGTTGTTAATTTTTTATTAACTAATAAACGTACAATATCTTTAATCCTAATAGTTAGAAACCTATCGATTTCCAAGGGATTTTCCCCCTTTTTTTTTTTTTTTTTTTTTTTCCGTGCGGAAATCCCCTCGGACCTGTCGGTGGCATGTCGGACTCGAACCGACTAAAACCGCACGCCGTCTCGGGTACTAATAGCCGGGGAACCAGGTATACCCTAGAAAGGAAGTCCCTGGTGCCCCGACATACCTCGGGTCATCTACAGACGAGTAGACGACCCTCCCCCGTGTGGGAACCCCATGTTCCCTGTGCTCCCTGGAAGCGGGCGCGCTTCGCAACGCGCTCGCCGCCACCCCGGCCTGCTTCTGCTAGGGTGACAGATGGCCTCACCTGTCACCCCCAGGCCTGCGCTTATGGAGGACGGAGGTCGTTCTGCGACCTCCGGCGCCTGAGTCGCCTGCAGTACCTGGCCCGTTCCCGGGCCTGGCGGGCCGGGAGAGTCCTAAACCTCTCCCGGTCCCGCTCCGCCGTCTCCTTCGCGAGCATAACTTGCTCGCAGAAGGAGACGGCAGAGTTCCACGCACTCTCGCTCCGCACGATAGCCGCAATCAGGCTATCGAGCGAGAGAACTCCCACTCCGATGGCCGCCACGAGGTCTCGCCTCTGCTCAACCCACGCCGCGCACTCTGCCAGCGTGTGGAGAGCCGTGTCCACGGTCTGGCCATCGCAGTGGTGGCACTCGGGCGTTGGCTCCTTGCGGATCAGACACAGGTGATCCCCGAAACATCCTTTCCCAGTGATCACCTGCGTCAGTCGGTATGAGAGGGTCCCGTGACGCCTCTCGAGCCAATCCTCCATAACGGGTCTTACCGCCGCGATGACTGCGTGCCCGGCGCTCGGTTGCCCGAGTCGTTCCCTCCACTCCCCTATGATGACTTGGCGGAGTTGGGCTTTCCGGTCATCGATTTCTCGAATCTCGGGGCACCGACCCAACTCCCGCGCTCCTTGCGCCACTGATACAGAGCCGCAAGGGCTCTCGCCTCCAGGTCCCACGGTGGAGCTCCGGCCAGGAGACTCGCCGCCTCAAAGGAGATCGTGCGGTACCCCCTTATGATCCTGATGGCCAGCACTCGCTGCGGTCGTCGCAGTATCGCGACGTTGCTGGCCTTCAGGGCCCCCGCCCATAAGGGATTTTCCCCCTGCAGATAGCTCATGTTATAAAGATAAATTTAGAGGCTACTATTATTGAAAAGAAGGTTGAATGTAAAAAATATAATGATTTAAACGCGAGCGTAGTCTAGGTAGGATCTCAAGAAGGGACGCAGCATACGTTTATCATTACTCATTTTGATACTTAAAGATAAAATAGTTTACCAATAGAAGCAGTTCTCTCCCGTCGATGCGTTCCTATAGTGGCGACGCATTTAAGTTTCATGCGATGATTTGTAGGCGCTCTTAATCCAAGGGTAGATACCAACAGTCCTTGTGGTGCGGGCATCGCTCCATATACAATTAGCCATGATCTGTCAGTGATCTAAAAAGGAAATCATATCTGTCAGGGAATATGCATGTCTTTTTTAATTTTTTAAACGTTTCTACTAGTTATTACATGACCAAAAATAAATATAACACACCCGAAATATAAACCATTGATCTTTTTTAAATTTACCATTTTCGGGCGATTGAAACGCGGCCATTTTGACGCACTTATTCTGTGACGTCATATTACAGGAGTTAGATGTCAAGTGTTTGGTTTACAAAGTTAATGAAAGTTAAAAATAGTGAGTGATAAAATCAACTTATTACAATGGAAACGCACAGAAAAGCTTATTATAGATATTGTATCGTTCCTACGTATCAAAATAACATCATTACTGCACCTGAAAAAGTAGATATATTTCCTTGTGCCGAAAGATGCAGGTATAAGGAAAAAGCAGTGTAAGGCGATGAGAAGCGATAATATATCGTGTTTGAGCTGTTTATATTGCTGTGTGTTCATTTTTACTGAGTTATCTGCACATATTTTTTTTACAAACCTCGATGAAATCAACGTAGTTTACGAAAAGTTCGTTAAGATATTCTCAATATCTAATATATGGAGGTAATATTCATTAGAGTGTTGCCTATGAATGAAAACATGTAACTGATTAGAGTAAGAGGGAAGTTCGAAACTATTTTTATTTACCGAATTTTATTTCTGGTTTCAGATTGAAAAGAATACAGAAAATTATATGTAATCAACAATTTATGATCATCATAAACACGTCTATTTTAGATAGATTTTCTGATAGTGCTTTGACACATCTAATCGGTTTTAATCATTCTGTTGTCTTTCCTCACAAGGTTTTAATACTTTAAGACAGACAACTACTAACTTAATATGAAACAATACAAAATAAAATACACCAGGAACCATACAAACAACTTGTTGACGGAAGATGTCGAGTGTAAACATGCTCTCCGAGGCACGGAAGGTTCTTAAGTGTAACGAATGGGCACCCATCCATAGGCTGATCTGGCTAGGATTGCTTTATTTTGCAATGCGTTCAGGGCTGCCGCTAGCTGTTTGAGCGCCCGTGTGCAATTCTGATGAGGCCGCCCTCTTTACCGTGCGGAAATAGCCCATCAGATAATGAATACCCCACCTGTTGTCCAGTGGAGGGCCACTGGACAACTAGGAGCGGAGCTGGTCTATAAATATTGTCCTGTAGTATCGTATGTCCTATAGTATAGTCTTATCATAATACGTAATCGTACTCCACACTGACACCATATTTGTAGTATTAGTAGTATCTACATTGCAGTGAATCGCTGTTATAATATACATATACTCACTATTATCCCCAAAGGGGTTAACACAGACGTATTAAACGCATACATTCTGCCGACAATGTTTTATACACATACTGGAAAAGTACCTATTAATTATGTTGAATCCTTACCTTCACGTAATTGTTTTAACCCTTTAAGAAAGAGTCCCTTAACGGAAATAATCTTACAAACCTTTTGACCGTCTATGAGCCATTGTAAGTCTGGAGCTGGGAACGATTTGGCTGAAGAGCAGTTAACATCTAGAGGTTCATTGAGTTTATATGCATGGTCGTGGCCTGTGATGCGTGGAGTTTCCCTGGGAAAATCTGTAATATTTGTAAAAAGTAAGTAGAGGAATGACAGTGATGGATTTTAGGAAATTGTCGTTATCAATGTGCAATATACTTTAAAGTTATACTTATTACCAGACAGACGTTTACAAACTCAGTTTCGAAGGAAATCAAAAAGTTTGGCTTAACTTTAACTGGAACTTATAAAAAATAACAAAGTTTAATAAATTATAATAGAACCTCTGCCATATACCACTTAATGCCTACTGTGTGGTATTGTACTAATTTTTAACCAATGCATCGTGGGCATAAGACAGGTTCTATAGAACGACCTTTGCCCTTCAAGCGTTCCATGTAGATAAAGTGAGACGTAGAAAAACTGTTTGAAATTTTGATTGCCTATCTAAAATACAAATGAAAGGCTCATGTAGATGATTCAATATTACAATAAAAGTAATTTGTAGTTAATATTTTTAACCATTTGTTATAGTTGTAGACCGTCCGGTCGTTCTTTTGATGAGTGCTAGTAACTCAGACGATGGAAACTAAGACGATTAATACTTTGTGAAGCACTACGTTTTTCTTTTGTTTTGTACGCAAAAATAATGTTGAGTAAATTTGTATGTATTGTTGGATATAGCTTACATGTCTAACGAGCGTTAAAGTAACTTTTTTTACGAGGATACCTACATCTATCACAGGTAAGTAACCGATGCGAGTGCTGTCAAAATGTTGTGATCGCAATTAGTTTTGTTGAATATCTATCTTCTAATTCTATCATAGAAGCTATTAGGCCTAGATGCCTGTGGCATTAAGTTCGTCATTGTACAACTCGAACTTGTGCATAAAGATTTAAAAAAATCCAGAAAATTCTAGAGTTATTGATTTATTATTATATAAAGCACGTTTTGAATGGAGGTAGATAATGATCAACCTTAATAACGCCTAATTTGAAGTTCTGATTTTACACTTTTTCTAAGAAACATATAATCAGTAGTACTAGAGTAAGGGTATTAATAATGGGTAAACGCACACCGGTACCAAATATGTTGTTTTTGCAAAACTTTTAAACTGTTTATTATATTATGTACGACGATACTATGTACGGATTAATATCTAATTTTCATTGTGCATTTGCAATAGAAAAAAATGTTTTTATCACTATATGGGTGAATAGACTGTGGGTCTCTTTGGGTAAAATAATAGCATTTGCTTTACAACAATGAAAAATTATAAATCATTTTTCAGTGTAGAAACATTTCGACACGGCTTTGTTCATTAAACATTTCTTGTTAGCGTGTTCCTCATTAAGGCTTTGGTTAAATTAGGCCCTCAATCGTCCTTCGACGGTCGGCGCTGTGCTGCGCCTGAGGGCCGTGACCGAAGAGGCGGTAAGCTGTGGCGGCGTGCTGTTGGCGGTGTCCTTGGACATCGCCAACGCATTCAATAGTCTGCCATTCACCTGCATCAGGGAAGCACTCCACTATCATGGGTGTCAAAGTACCTAGGTCGGGCGCATTGAGGCGCTGGGCTTACGGGTGGCCCTGTATAAGACGGAGGCCTTCTTATTCCGTGGGCCCCGTCGTGGTCCATTCCCGGTGCCCCAATCGTGGTCAACTCGGTCCTAGTACCGGTTCAGGCCCAGATGAAATATCTGCGCCTGATCCTCGACGGGAGGTGGCTCTTCGACGAGCACTTCCGACAATTCGCTCTAAAGCTGGTCGGCGCTGCGTCTACCCTTGGGCGACTTTTGCCAAATCTAGGTGGACCCAGCGTCGCTACAAGACGGCTGTACACGGGGGTTGTCTGGTCAATGGGCCGTGGCCGTGGAGGCGCTCCGGCCGGTCATCGTCGAGTGGGCACTGCGGTAGCACGGGACCCTTTCCTTCCGGCTGACGTAAGTCCTTTCCGGGCACGGCTGCTTCGGGAAGTACCTGCACTCGGTCGCTAGGAGGGAATTGAGTCCCACCTGTCACCATTGCGATTGCAGTCAGGACTCGGCTCAGCCCACGCTGGCAATATGCCCGGCTTGGGCGCCGCAGCGCCGGGTTCTCATTGCAGTCATCGGGGATGATCTCTCGCTACCGGCCGTCATACGCTCCATGGCCGGTAGTAACAGATGTTTCACCGCGGTCGCATCCTTCTGCGAAGACGTCATCTTGCAGAAGCATGCGGCGGATAACATCCACTCGGACCCAATCCGTCGCCGTCGAACCGGGCGGTGGAGGCGCGCTTACCACCGTCTCATGCCGCCCTGAGTGTGGCCGCGGGTAGACGGGACGGGTTTTCCCCTCCACCCGCCATAAAGACCGGCCGCGAGGAGGCTACGTCCGCGTGTGCTGGACGTCGGGGCGTCGGCTGACGTGGCGGGGTGACGGCTCGAGGGGGTTTCCACACGTACAAAAAAAAGGCCCTCAATTGTCCTCCGAGATAGTGTTTTAAGGAGTCAGCCCATGGTTTCTGCGCTTTCCCGTGCAGGTGCTAGGAGGGGATGTCTTGATAAAAACTGTTTCCAGAGTCCTCTTATTTAGATACAGCATGACTCACCGTAGTCTTAATTGATCCGATTTCGACACACTATCCCACCGTAAACCCCGGTGAGATGACGACCCCAGGGTTTTACACACGCAACATTAAAAAAAAATCTCAGAATCTTAGGATGATATAAAAAATAATTTCAAATTTAAGTAGGTACCTTACCTTATCTATCTTGTATACAAATATAAAATCTCTTCATCATTAAGGTAAGTGAATCAAATGAATTCTCACGTGGGACTACGAAGGTAATTGATTAGATCGTTCTTGGAAGTTGAGATAAAAATAATTTCAATAATATAAGTATACAACCGTATGGCACATTTGTTATTGCTCATTACGCAACATTTATTGCTAAATAAAGAATACCCTTAAACTTCTTGTTATTTGTGTCTTAACATAGAATGCTTATTGAATAGGAGAGTTTTTAAATTTAAAAGAGAATCGGGTCAGTATGTCTAGTCCGAATCTACAGGAGAAACAGTAGAACTGTTTCAGGAACTAGTATTGTTTTCTTGTTTTAAATTTTTTGTTCGAATATTTGTGATCAGCGCTTCAAAGAAACAATTAAACTGTATTTTTTATACTCATAGACTAACTTATGTGTAAGAATCAATACAGAAGTTGTACAGTAATACTAATTCAACATGCACAGTATTAAAGCCGTATACTTAATGAACGTTATTAAGTAAAGCAAAACGTAGCCAATTTTGGACAGGTTTTAGTTCACGTCGAGAAACCTATTTAATTTCCTAAGGTAAAAGACACCCAAATAAACTTCACAAGAACAGAAATTGTATGTAGTATGTTGTATTAAACTAGGCATCCATAAAGTTGTACAGAATTTAACAGAAATTACAAGCGCAAGCTTGTAATTTCTGTTAAATTCGTACGTTTGAAGAAATTATAGTGAAGTAGAAGACTACTCAATATTCTAAATATAGCATTTATTGTCATAAACTACATATTATTTTGCCCATCCAAAGGTCACCTGTAAGAGATCGCTCTTAGTGATAAGGCTACTCTATTTATTTGTATCCGTTTTCCTTCAAGTTTGTATTCCTATTTATTTTAAGCAATATATTGTTTGTGTACTATAAATAATATTCTATTCTATTTTATTTTCAGATTCTTATTATCTTATATTCTAAATTCGTTTTTACGTTAATTCAACTACTAAGCCGTGTCTTAGTGAGTTTAAATGATAACTACTCATTTTTCTTTCAATAACATTTACATAGAAAAATACTGTTGAGTCCGATAATTGCGAAGATTGCGTTCATATTGAACCTTTATCGTTGTCAAATTATATATATCATTCCATTGAGAGTTCCCGAAAGGAAGCAACTTGAACCATTGTCGACCGTGCTACTTCAAAATATTTTTAATGCTTGCCTTTTTAAAGAGAAGCTTATTTAGACAATAAGACACGCAAAAATAGATAAGTAAACTTTTTAGTTAAATAAGTACATTTTTTGTAATGCTTACAGTTAAAAAGAAAAGAACTTAATTTATTTCAAGCAAATATTAATTTGTAAGCCGTAACTAGATTTCACTGTTCGGTTTTTTTATATCTCGTGAGCCTGTTTTAAATCCTCATTGGCCGTTAGACGGTAAAATATAAAGCCCCTTCTAAGTACACGTATTATCACAAGTGGATAGGGAACCCTACACTACGCGTGGCCAGACATGCACTTGGCCGGTTAGACTTGGTTTCTTTTTCTTAGTATTTATTAAGATTTTATGCAGTAACTATAGATTCTATTCTATACCTAAATTAACTATGTGAGATTCTTTGACATATAAAATATACTTTAACATAACAAACATCAATATAATCACCTTACAAAAACCACCTTACAAAATGAATTAATTTAATTCATGGTTTAAATATGTAACGAAAGCGTTCTTATGAATTTTTGCTGTTCACTGTCCGACGATAGCCCCCGTTGGAAAGGATATGTATGATACAGTAAACGAATTATTTAACGTCTTTTCCCGACCCTTCCACATATATTTACAAATTCATATGACATCCTTAAGTAGAAACATTTATATGAAATGAATTTACTCACAATATACTTCCATAAATGCCTCTGCCTGAGCTGAGTGGAATGAAGGTGCTTCTTCGGACACTTCGCAACGGTATAATCCTCGTGATTTCAAGGTCAAGTCTCGAAGGTGAACTCGTCGAGCTGTTGATTTTTCCAACTGGGTAGGGATAAGAACTGGTGAGTTTTATTGTTAATAATTAATAATAATATTCTAAAACATTCACACAACTCCATCTCGTCCCAAACTAAGCAGAGCTTGTACTATGGGTACTAGACAACTGATATAAATACATATACACTTTTTTTTTCTAAACACATACATATTATACATAGAAACACCCGGACCAAATCAAACATTAAATGTTCATGCACACAAACGTTTGACTTGAGCAGGAATCAAACCCGCGAGCTTTGGAATAGCAGTCCGTTACACAAACCACCACGCCATCCGGTCGTCTAAATAAAAAAAATATGTTATGCTTGTTTGTGTTAATGCTCCGGGATACAATAAGTGGGACATGCCGTAGGAGACCCAGACTTCAACTCGACAGGAAAGATTCCATGGCCACGCAGAAATGGTTTTTAAGGGTAACTCACTTATATAATTATTCTAGTCACCGAAAATGGAAATCACCTCAAAACATTTCCATAATCTAATAACACGATGATGCGCTTCATAGATATCCATAGTTTATATGTTAGGGGCTTGTAATAATATGAAGGATTAGCTCGAAAGGCATCACGGAACTATCTCATACCGGTTGACGCAGGTGATCACCGGGAAAGGATGCTTCGGAGATTACCTGTGTCTGATCCGCAAGGATCCAACGCCTAAGTGCCACGCGCCACTCGCTCCACACGCTGGCAGAATGCCCGGCGTGGGTGGAGCAGAGGCGCTGCCTCGTGGTGGCCATCGGAGTGGGAATTCTTTCGTTCGGTAACATGATTGCCACCATGGTACGGAGCGAGAGTTCGTGGAACTACGTGGTAAGACGTTGAGTGAAAAGATTGTTTAACTAGCCGCTACTTAATAATCAATCTCAGCGGCGGTTTAGTGAAGCGGCGGGTTGGTGAATATGAAACAAATAATTTCACACTAACTAGATCCCAATTACGTCGAGGTTTTGAACGACGTTTTGCTACCTACTGTGAATAATATTTATCCCGTGGAAGACATTAGTGAGAGTGTTTTGTTCGAGACAACTGTCTGATATACCGTGCTAGTTGTTAGTGAATGGTTTCGTCAACATTCGGATATTAAGTTTATCAATGGCCAGCGCGATCCCCTTATCTAAAAGTTATAGAAAACGTATGTGGTTTAGTGGCCTCCATGCGTCAACGTCTTTTTAGTGAGTCATTAACAATTGAGCTCACACTAAACATAATTAAAAATTAGTTTATGATAATATGGAGGTTAAGTTTCAATTTTCCTTTTCTTCCTTCCTGAACAAATTAAGCTAGCTATTAACCTCTATAAACATCAAGGAAAATTGTATCAGCTATCAAAATGGTTTACGAAAATATTTTACTTAAATGTTTTTATTTTCAAAGTTTGGTTTGTTTTAATTGTAAATAACCGTGTAAATAAATGATCTTATGAAAAATTATAACTTTTTTATTATTACATATTATACCCCTTTTCTTCCGTAAAATAAAGACATTTGAAGGAACATACTTTTTTTTTTTTTTCTTTTTAAATAATACAACTCCCGCATTAGGAATATATCCTGTGTCTCGGGGGACCTTACAAACATACATAAAACGGACACAAAGAACACCCAGACTTAGAACAACAATTTGTGGATCACACAAAGTGTCGTCCCATGTGGGGTTCGAACCCACAACACTCGGCGCAGTAGGAAGCGGCATGGCGACCGCTTAAACCACTGCGCCATCCGTGCAGTCGAAATTCTCAAAATATGTATCCTGTCATGAAAACAAAAATACCAAAAAGTCAACACTGTGGATCGAAACGTCACCACTCTCCAAGAACGATCAATAATTTAATCAATAATACAGGATAATTCGCTAATCGCACGATTCTGTTACTAGGTCTAATGACTATTAAGATTAATTTTAGCATCGCTTTCAAATAGTTGCTACGACCGAGTTCGACACGCTGAAAACCTATAAGTGTTGTGCACACATGCATGTTACCAATCAACTTTCGTAAATCAAAACTGTCTGGTTATAATGTGTGTATGCATTGCAACATCACACATACAGAGATAGGCACAGAACACTACGTAAAAAACGCTTTATGCCAATAATATATAGAAATTTCGGGCACCAAGTTTTTTACTCATAACACTCATGAGTGTGTTTCGAGGACTAGATGTGTGTATTTTGAAGCCAAATAATTGTTCTAAGTCGGGGTGTTCTTTGTGTCCGTTTCATGTATGCTTGTAAAGTCCCCCGCGGCACAGGATATTGGCAGGAGTTGACTTTTTTAAAAGTAAATAAAAAATAAAAATATATGTGTATACAAAATTTATTTTATCTTTATGAGTACTTACATCCACTTTAACTCCATCCAGTTTATGGGCGTGCTGCGGTGGCCTTAGCCTTGGCATAAATCGGTAAAATTCTTCATTGTCTCTATACCATTTTACTGAATACAATTTCCCTCCTTCTAGGTCGTAATCACACGTAAGGGTGGCTGATTCACCTCGCTGTTTTAGATTTGGTACTGATATGCCGACTATTCGAAGGCATATGCATACTGTAAATAAAAAAAGGTTATTTTAACTTTTCTAATGCCCAAATTATACTGACAACTTTTAAAATTAGTGGCAATAATATAAATAAAGCACAACCTAATCAGTACAGTTGTTAAAAATATTTTAAATTAGGAGGTAGGGAACTTGATGTTTTGATTCGAATTAGAGGTTACCCGGCTATACATTGGCAGTTCTATTCTTCCTTTTCTTCAAAAAAGACAACTCCCGCATTAGGAATATATCCTGCGTCGCGGGGTCTTTACAAACATACATTAAACGGTCACAAAAACACCCAGAATTGTAACAACAAATTATAGATCATACAAAGTGTTGTCCCATGTGGGGATCGAAGCCACAACACTCAGCGAAGAGGGAAGTAGCGAGATGACCGCTTTTAATCGCTACGAGATTGCAGTCGTAATTTAAAGGAGACTGTGATTAAATAGAGCTCTTAGGGTAACTGTTTATTGTTCATCGTAGCCATAAGTAAACTTGTTCTAGTCGCATCGCAATAAGGGATTGCAATGCACACGCAATAAGATAACCCCTTATATTCTAGGTGGCCGTGTGCTTGTTTTTTGACTTTTTTGACTACGGTGGCCTTGCTTCCTACTGCGCTGAATGTCGTGGGTTCGATCCCTACATGGGACAACACTTTATGTGATTCAGAAATTATTTTTCAGAGTTTGGATGTTTTTTTGTGTTTGTTTCATGAATGTTTGTAAAGTCCCTCGCGACATAGGATAAATTCCTAGTGCGGGAGTCCATGTACATGTCCTCATAACCGTTTTAATTTCCATACTTGAGGAATACTGTTATTATTTAGTGTAAAGTGATTTACTATTCAAACAACGATTAACGATTATTAAACGATTGATTTGTTATCTTTAAAAAATATGGCAGGTACTTGTTTCCATGTGCTTGCAATTTGTTATGTCAATAAACTCTATTAATCATTAATTATAAATGACATTATACTCGTAAATGATATTAGTAAAACCAAAAATAATTTGGTTATAATCTTAAGGTTGGTTTACTAAAAGCGCTAACTCCGTTTCAAAAGGTTATTTTATGTTATATATGTATGGTAAATCCGTTCTAAAGATATTTAATGTAATTTTATAAAAGTCTATGTATTTAAAAAAAGTAGTCATTCAAGCTTTGATGCTTAAATATACATTTTTAATAATCATACTTCATGAGAGTAGGTACTTGGTTACCGTTGTGTAAATAAGTACATAGTTTACACACACCCTCAAGTTGAAGGTATTATCTAACACAATACAAATAAGAAACGATAACAAATATTGTAGGCCACAAATCGAGTCTTAGTCATACTTAAATATTAAATTTTCATTTCATTCCAAAGTTTATTAAATCATTTATATTTTTTATAAACTGCTAAAAAACGAATATATTATAATTAATAAATGGTTGAAATATACTTTTACCTTTAATGTAAGCAAATATGAAGTAACAAAACACAGAAATATTTTTCATAGCTCACTCGGTCATCACGATACAGGTCGTAAAACTTTTGTCACAAAGGATTTCTCAAAATTTGAAATAAAATCTCAAACTTAAGCCAATAAAATTTAAAATAGTTCAGAATTTAATTTGCGACTCGTAAATTTTATCGTCGTCGTCGTGTGCGGCCTATTCGTAGCACGTACCAAATGCAACTGTTGCTACGTCCCATCAGGAGCTACGAGCGAGAAGCTACGGACGTAGACGTGGCGTAATAATACAGACGTGTAATAATTTTAGCTTGCTCGTGCTTTGTAAAAGCGTATTTACTAAAGATAAAGATGTTTGAATTCACTGATATATTTTTAATAATCACAATTTCTTTTTATGTAACAGTAAAAGTTTTTTCTTGACTACATTTACCTTTTTCTAAGAATAATTGTGATTTAGCTTGTAACAATATTTAAACATTTGTATAAGTTGTTTCATTAAGCAATTTAGGACTGGGTACGATCGAATAAACACTACCTCCATATCCATAAAATATATTATATGAAATGTATGTTACGTACATACATTTTAGATCAACTTGACATACATGTTAGATCTAATTGTTACGTTATTAGACTGTAAGTGACTGTACATGCCATATATACACATAAATGATAATGTAAATGACAAAGTATTTGAATGATTGCTAATTAAATGATGACTAACTTTGTTATTGCATACATACATATGCAGACATCTACATATGCATATTATTTAGGGTTTTAAAGTTACTAATGCAGTTTGCATAACCAAAAACCGCGAATATAATTGCATAGGGGTAGGTGGGGCGGGAGGCTGAGTCTCCGTTTATCTTACTCACTCATTGAAAAGCATACGGTAGGCAGAAAGTATTCCCTGCTCTTTCTTTTTGTATATAACTACTCATGGATACTATACTTACGGTTTAGTCTATTACTGTTCTCTAGATTAAAATAATAATAATATCCGATCCTTAGAAAGAGCGTTTGTAGTATTAGGAATGCCTTTCAATGGCACAATGTAGTTAGTATATAATGTCTACTCTCCATACTGTAGTGGAGTGCAAGTCCCTGTGCGCTCGATGGTGTGGCTGCATATGGCAGCTAAGGTCTACCCTTAGGGTTTCCCGGTGGATTTTAGACTGCCTTTCTGCGGTATTGCAATAGACGTAAATGAAAAAATAGTTAAAGTAACAGTAAAAGGTGAATATTTAATTAATTAATATTTAAGAGCAATAACTTCCAAGCAGTAAAATAAAACTTAATTTATTTGTAATAAAGCGTACGATAAACACAATTAAAAATGTCTGCACCAGGTAATGGAGTTCGCGTAATTACCAAGTAATATATAATTAAAATTAATCATCATTTCAGGGTTCTATTATTACTAGAGATCGCCTGGCGGTGGAATTTCGACCGTTTTAAATTGCTGCTAAACTCAAAACAGATGTTGTAAACTAGAGTAACGGGCTCAGAAACTATGCATTATACGTTTCAGTAGGAAGGTTAGTACTTTTGATGTGGTTGCGATCGTGACGCAAAATATTGATAGGCGAGGGGAAGCCTGCTTCCCCCGGGATAGGGCTTGGGTAGGCGTGGCGTCGATCTAGGTGGAACCTGAAATTACATGGTTCGGGTCCTCTTCAGAATACGGCGCCTGAGACCGGCATTCGGGGTCGTTTTTAGTTCACCACACCACAAACTCCTGGCTCCTGTGTTTCAGAGTAGCCGGAGATCCGAAGAGATTATCCACTCCCTCAACAAGTATTTGATCCAGATGTTTTTTTTTTCGCCAAGTAATTTGAAAAACAAAGCTATTAAATTTATTTGCAGCAAAGCAATGCTTTGAACATAGGGGCCGGCTCGACTAAAATGATATCACGGCTTCATAGAACACAGAGATATTCTGTTAAGCAGAGGATCGTCACGGTGACCGCGGTCGGCGTTGTGATTGGCCCGAACTAAACTCTTTACTAATCGAGTTGATGTGTAATAAACTTACACTAGACCCTTAGTCCTTTTGTTGTTTTTCAGCGAGTGAGTGAGGTTATCCAAGCCCTCCCCATATATTTATGCAACCGAACTTGTATCTCTTGAGTTCACGTTCAGCTGGGTGGGCACATTGTTCACTAATTACTAGATCGTTAGACCCGTATAACATAAAAATCTAGCATATCTGCAGCATATCCAGATTTTTAAAACGATTACCTGTGTGAAATCAAACGGAATCTTTTTGATTAACTTTAACATATTTGTTCGTAAGTAATATTTCATAAGTTACTATACTATACTATATATCTCACACATCTCACACACGGCCGTCTGATCCCAAACTAGGCAGAGCCTGTACTATGGTAACCAGACCGCTGATAAACATACTTATATATTTTTAAATACATACATATTATAGATAAATTACACCAGACACAGAACAAATGACCGTGCTCATCACACAATATTTGTCCTGGGTGGGAATCGAACCCACGACCTCCGGCTTAGCAGTCAGGGTCACTAACCACTAGACCAACAGGCCCGTCAAGTCAAGTTACTTGTTCTAATATAGAAACAAAAATAAGTGTGTTATTATAGTTGTCATAAAAAATAAGAACATTATGTAAAATGTATATTTACGAAGATCGTTACCGAGATCAAAGGAAATTCTCGGAAACAATAAATTGAAGTTGAAGTTATCTGTACTAGTGCTGACTGCACTTTGAAATTGAACAGGACTTTGTTATTTTAACCTTTCTACCTATCTTGACTATCTTTTGATGCAGATGTTGGTTAACAGTGTTCCCTTTGTAAATAAATACAGTTTGCGATGGCTGTGTAACTTTACCCCTCATCTTTTTATAGTCATTTAATGCAAGCATTTATTTTTGCATTTGTATGTGTTTTACAACAAAGCATAATGGTGTTTGTTTTTCACATCATTTTCACTTTATGTTACATACTTTTTTGTATATTATTGTACATTATATGATTTTCCAAAGCACTTAAGCCATATGTTAGTATCTAAATGTTAAACTACTGGTTTCCCCGTATGGCTAGTTTATATTTAGTGAAGTAAAAGTGAAATGGACAAATAAAGTAGTCGTATTATAGTATAGTATAGTAATTTTGTTAAGTGATAGTGCAGCGAGTGGACAATAAAGTCAACGTAGCTTTACTTAAACAACATTTTAAAATAGATAATATCATATCCATTTAATACATGCCACCATAATACGTATCCCCAATTCACTTGTCATCTGCTTTTAATGCTTAAGTAATAGTTAACTAGTAAGCAAGGAATATTCAAAATATCATCAATTAGCGTTGTTACAATAATATCTATTGCAACTTGTTTTTTTAAATTGAAAACAGGTTTAGTGAGAGTGTATTCTAAAAACAAAATGAATTAGGAAAAAAAAAACAGTTACAAAAAAAAATGGATACGTGAAGAAAGTTCTTTGTACCCCTTATTAAATAATATTGCACACAGAAGAATTTCATATTTGGAATACTTAATATTCATATATGTAGAAGTGCATAAAGCTATAGTTTTGATATACTAAAAAGTTAAAAATTATATAAAAACGACTATATAAAGATATAGGGGTCCAGTGTATATTTTGATCTGTCATGGTACAAAAGTCTATATTAGAACAGTTTTTGTTGTACTGGTCAACGACAAAAGATTCGGTTCTGATTGAAATGAATGATGAATTTACACTCTATATTTTAAAACTCTATACTTTAAATTGGTTACATAATTAAATCCAAAAATACACTGTCCTACAAATTTCAGCAAAAACTGCCTTTATTGTATTATCTTTTTTTTTTTTTTTTTTTTTTTTGTTCATCTTTAATACAGCAATCTGTCTCTTTATCAGGACATTAAGCGATAGATTGGGCATAAATTGGAAGTCGTGTGCAGGGATGCGGCCAATGCCGTACCCTGTTCTAGTTATAATGTGCTCTTATCACAGCACATCCTGGGGGATTCTGAGCTTTAGCCTACGGATTTTCAAACTGTTGTCCATAAGCGGTTGGGCCAATATATTTGGGTGGTTTGATATTCTGTCCCTGTATGCCTTAGTGTGTCTAGTTATTTCCTCCCTGATTGTAGGCATCTTCAGATCGTTGTGCAGTTGTTCGTTAGTCACAAACCATGGGGCACCAGTAACTATGCGCAGCATTTTGTTTTGAAAACGTTGTAAGATCTCTATGTTGGAGTGTGAGGCTGTTCCCCATAGTTGTATGCCGTACTAGAAGTTTGTTTTCCCTTGATAACTGGGATTTACAACCAATGAGCCAGTAAAGTTTTCTCAGCTGTAGACCAAGCTGTTTTCTCTTGGTAAGAATGTGTTTCTTCCAGGTAAGACGTTTATCGAGGTACAGTCCAAGATACCGCACGTGATCTGCCCGAGGGACTTCTACGTCATTCAACGTCACTGGTGGACAGTGCTCTCTTCGCAGGGTGAAGGTAACGTTGACCGACTTGCTTTCATTAGCTTTGATCCGCCACCTTTTTAGCCAGTCGGCTATGTTATTCAAACCTTCTTGTAGTAGTTTGGCTGCGATTTCTGGCTGACTATGGGTGGCCAAAATGGCTGTGTCGTCAGCAAAAGTACCTGTTGTAATTTTTTCACTGGTGGGTAAATCCGAGGTGTAGAGCAGGTAGAGGATCGGACCAATTACACTTCCCTGTGGAACCCCCGCTAGGATGGGGCAAAGGCTTGTCATCTCGTTTCCACACTGAACCATAAAGTGACGATTAGTTATGAAAGCTTTGATCATACAAAACAGGTGATGGGGCATGGATTTTTTAATTTTGTAAAGCAAACCCTGGTGCCAGACCCGATCGAAGGCCTGCGAGATGTCCAAAAAGACGGCTGTACAGTATTTTTTGGCTTCATACGCTTTATGTATTTCGACTGTAAGTCTGTGAATTTGTTCGATAGTAGCATGCTTATGACGAAATCCAAACTGATGGTCTGGAACCAGATGTTTTGTTTTAAT